CTCTTTCCATTATTTTTCTTTGGAGCATTTGTGAAACCATGATCCTTAACAACAGAGAAGCACCTATGGCCTTTGACAATGTCTTGAAAAAACACAATCAAATATGAGATAAAAGGAGATTACATTAACAAGGGCTTTTTCTATACAGTTAAACCAGCAACTGAGTTAACACACAGAAGGGTCATGAGATAAATGAGGAAATTACGACAACCAACAAAATGATGATGCAGTAATGCATCTGCACTCTGTTGTCACTTTGGTAATGGTCATAACTACAGTATATGTTCAAGAGCAGTATTGCTCTGTTGAAAGTCTTTAAATTAAAATGAGGATGCATAATTTATCAAAGTGTTAAATATTCAGAAATATTTTGCAGTGTTCAAATTGTTTTAAAGGCTCAGAGTATTGTCTGTTAAGATGGTTTGCTCATTCTTACTTAGAAGGAAAATTATTCATGCTATGCCACACCACTGTTTTCTTGCATACATCACACTAATGTATTTATCTGAAATATACATTTTTCATGCCACGGAGCTCCAGCTTTTCCACTGACTACAACTGCATCATCCTGTATTGCAGGAACAATTATTTACATGCTAGTTCCCTAGTTTAAACAGTATTTGAAGGGCAAAAAATGGCCACCATATAGGCTATGTCTACATAGACGGGTCCAAGCAATCACAAATTTATTCCAACTCCAATCTAGCAAGAGGTGTAGTTAGGCTTGGGAAACTGTTAGATGCATTAGCACAGTGGTTTCCCTGAGCTATTATACTACTCATCTGTCAGATTTTTTAACTTTCTTTGATGAAAAATAAAAAGTTCATTTCACAGCAGTATCGCTTAAAATGGTAATTTTGTTATCTGATGGGTTCACATGCTGGCATGAGCAGACGATTTGCAAAATGTGAAGTGTCTGGGACACACAGAGGATGATCTTGTATGCCTATGTTTTACTTCTATGACATTTATATGTTAGTCTGCTTTTAGTTAGTTAAAATTATTTGGTTTACACTGCCAACTCTGTGAAACATTTGAAGAACTACAGCAGGCAGATAGCCACATTGCCATCAGAAGCTATCTTTTCTGTGATGTGATCATTATTTACTATTTTTGTAAATTTTTGTAAAATTTCAGTTTTGATGAAAAATATGAGAAGTGGTAAAGCTTTCAAGATCTCCCATCTCTAGGAAAGTAAACACACACAGTAAATAATGTCTCTGAACTTGGTTCTTAGTTAAATAGTCCCTCCTACTGCTGCTTGTAATGGGTAGAACTGACTCCTACATTCTAAAGAACATCTCTGGTCTTAATTTGTGTTTTTTAACATAATGTCCCAATGGACTGAGAGGGAGAGATGGAAACCTACAGATATCCAGATCTTACGGCTGAGTCAAATTATGGGAACTGGGGCTCCCATCTTGCCACCCTCTGGTTCATGTCACCTGAAAGCAGGATGTTCTTGGCTTTGCACTGAAGCCCTTTGCTCTCAGACATGTAAGCTTGCCTTCAGGCAATGCACCCAGGAGTCCTTAGACTCCCAGCAAACCTGCAGGAAGTCTATCACAGCTTTGCATTTTCTTGACCATTTATTGGAACAGGTATTTTAGCTGTGAAAATATTTGGTGTCAGCACAGCTGTCTTTTCCAAGAAGAGAAAAAAAAAATCCCATTTCTTCAGAAAAATTCTGATCTGCTCCTAAACACAAATCAAGTCATAAATGACTTGATATTACTACTTACATTTTCATACAGTGTGATAATTGTGCTTTTGACTACCCAATAAATTCAGATACTGGCTGCATCTAATATTCAGTGTCAGAAAAAATGGAAAAAATCCAAATTCAAACCAAAGCTGGTAGCAACTAAGCTTTTCTTTTAAATGAGAAGTTCTTTATTTCCTTTCATCAGAAAACAATTAAGTTTTCTATCCATGCATACTTGGAATGAAAACGTAATTGATTGTTGCTTGCACTTTGGCTTTAGATATAGATTATGTCATTTCAAAAATTAGTTCTTGTAAGGCTTCTGTGCATTAGCAATAAACTGGAATATATTTACTCACTATATGATTCCTCTCACACTTAGGAAGAAAAATACCTGCAGGATGTTGATCATTTAATCTGAAGATTTTTTTTCTTTTCCCATGGAGATTGAAAGCAATTATCTAAATATACTTTTGTTGTTGTTGTTGTTGTTGTTTATTTGTTTGTAATCTGAAATCACTCTTACTCCTTTAACCACATCAGGATTCTTTTTTTTAGAAACATATCGGAATAAGCTTGTCTTGTGTTGCCTCCAGGTGTGTTGCAGACCTGTATATTGTAATGGCTGTCCTTTAGTGAACACAGATGAGGGTGACATATAGTATCATGCAACAGCAATACTTTGAACCATTTTGGTGTATT